TGCTAATAATTTATTTTTATGCCCCGTCAATCTGACCAGGTTGCCCCAGTCGCTCTGGGCAACTTCCAGCAGAAATGTTGTTGTTGTTGCTGCTGCTGCTGTTTATTGAATTTATATACTGCCCTATACTGGAGGTCTCAGGGTGATTCACAGATTAAAATCAAAATATAAAACCACAAAATACAGGAAACAACAACAACATCAAACATAAAAAGCTTCCTGAAACCGGACTGCCTTCAAATGTTTCCAAAAATGTATATAGTTTAACTCTTTGACATATGCCTGGAGGGCATTCCACAGGGAGGATATGACCTCCAAAAATGTCTTCTGCCTGGTTCCCTGTAGTTTAACTTCTCATAGTGAGGGAACTGCCAGAAGGCCCTCAGTGCTGGACTCAGTGTCTGGGCTGAACAACGTGGGTGGAGACACTCCTTCAGGTATGCAGGGCAGAAGTCATATAGGGCTTTTAAAGTCAGTGTTATGTAGTCTCAGTGGCTGCTCCCAGTCACCAGTCTAGCAGCTACATTCTGGATAAATTGCTTTTCATATCCAGGGACTCAACATGCTATGCTCTTTTTTATCTTTATCATACAAACATCTAAGGAGTTATTAGAGTGCAGTAGTAAGATAAACTTGCAGTATAGTACATTTTCTACTAGAGAACTTCATGTGTGTATGTTCACCTGTATGTAAATACAATAGCACATCCAGAACCTTGCCATTCATTTCATTGGGACTTCCCAGTGACCTTTTGTTTTGATATAGAAAAATGTTTTGAGCTCTGACCTACAGCATATAATAAAGTTTCAAAATCTGCAAGAGTTTGCTTCTATGATAATTGGTGTTGAGGATCAAACCCTTTAAATTGTTTCAATATCTGTGCATCTAGTGAATCTAGTGTTTGAGATAAGATCAAGAGCATCACAGTAACTTGGAACGGGACCTTGACTGTGACTGCCCCTTTTCTGCATTCCTGTCGAGATATGACAGGTACCCACTACCTGCATTTTCTGGAAACAATGGGAGTTGGTGGGTTGCTAGCAGCAACCACCACTGAATTTTTTCGAAACATGATCTTATGTCGCCTCCATCTTTGACAGTATTCATTTGAAAAGTTTCTTCATATTCTAGGCACCCATTCGTGTGAATATGCAAAAGGCTTTAACAATAGGTTTGAATTATTTAAATGTTCTGCATTCCCAAACCCCTGTCATTCAGGGCAGCTTTGCATCCCCTGAAGTTTTATCATTTACTCACAGAAATATCCCCATGTTGATGTTGGTGCCATGGGGATCTGTGCTCCAAAGGCACTTGCGTTCTTGAGGAAAATGCAAATTACTTGCATATTTAGAATTCAGGATTAGGCCTCATCAGTAAATCTTAGACTGCAGGCCAAGGCACACCAGTGCACCATAAGGAGACTGCTGTTGTGCTGTGAGAAATGATTTTTTTCTTTTTAAAATGAAGGCATCTGAGCGCTCAAAGTACATAGGCCTTCAGAGGAGCTTTTGCCCACTGCATCTCTGCACAGTTTTGTGCTCAGGCTTTGCCTATGTCCCCGTCATTCCCTGCTGGGGCTAGGCAGCTCTACCACATCTTTGCATTAGATGTGATGAGGTAACATAAAGACTTTCAGTGCAAGGATACAGCACGATTAGCTTCCCATGAAGCAGACATGCTCAGAACTCTCCCAGAAACATGGGTAGGTTTCTTTTACTCTTTACACCAAACCTTTTGAGCCAGAAGAGTGAAAATTGCCTTCCTTCAGAAAGTTTGGGAAACTCTGGGCTGAATTAATTGTCTTGTGGTCAGCAGCAGGGGTTGGGACTTGTCAAAGCTCCTTGACCTGGCCCAGTGCCCAAAACTGACCAGAGATGTTACAAGGACCTCCCATTTCTTAGCATGAAGAACACTGAAAAAACAAAGCAGTGACTTTTTCATACTCAATTTAGCCACTCTGGCATTGTAGTTCATTTGGAAGGGGACAAATGAATTGGGCTGTGATGAGGGGGAAGAGAAAAGGAGCTGCAGTTGGATGGTGGTGTAACAGCTAAAGGACATAGATAATTCTGCAGGCAATCCTGTATTACACACCTCTTGTTGTTTAGACATCCCTTGCTTATATGTTGCATCATATAAGCTTACCAACTCCAGAGTACTAGTACTAGTCTCTGAGTATCTGAGAGCAGTATTTGGCTCTAAGTTGTCCTTTAGGCAGCAATGTCAAAAATGGCCATAGTTATTAAAGCAGAATTTAAATGAAAAAGCTTGGAGAGGTTCAGCATGCCTTCTCTTCATGGTTTAATGTGCCCTGCCAAACTCCCGGCTACTAAAATTTGAGCCATCAGCCTCCCATTGTAATTCATTCATTTATTTAAAAGGTTAGTATGGCTGCAGAAAAGTGATAAAGTACATTAAACCAGGGAGCCAGGAAGGGTAGTTGCATGTTCCAACCAGAGTTAAAGTTCCTCAGTCTATTTCGACTTTGAGTCCTGCATCTCCAGAGGATACATAATGAGGGGGAAAGGGAAAGCATTTTCCCAACAGCAGAATATCCAGAAAAATAATTTCTCATTGGATTATTTTGGGAGCACTCAAAGGCATTTTCTTCCAGTCTTGTAGGACTATTGCAATGAAGCCCTGGAATATCTGGGAGTAATATTGTCACGTAATCTTCATGAAGTTTGTTATTTGCTGTGACAGTTGCCATTCCTAGTTGCAAACATTATGGCTGATGCATGGCTACCTGAACAGTAGGATAAGGTTTTAATATAATATTTTAACCTTCCCTGGATCAAGGAATTAGAGGGGGCTCAGACATCATATAGCCTCACCCTGCCCATAAACTCACAACCACATTATCAGAAATTTATAAGATATAACAAAAACTAATCTATATGAAATTATGCCCCTATGTTGTGCTCCTCTGAGGTCTGTTCTAGGTGGCTGTCTAGTTGGCTTAATGATAACACAGGTCATGGGTGTTTGGGGAAGAATTGCTGCTGGTTGGGCTTCTGAGTCCATGCTATCACTGTACCTCTCTGTGTTATGACAGCTTGCCTGCTTTCTAGGCAGAATATATCAGCAAAGATTAGCACTGGGAGTGAGGTGGGGTGTGGGAGTTTTGGGTTTGCCATGTGGTTGGCTGGCATTGCTGTACATGACATTTGTGTTATATATATATATACCTGGTTTTATTGCAGGTAAGGGGCGTATGTGTACATTGGTGGCTGACTGAACCAATATTAAGGCAGAGCAGTTTCGATAGGGGTCATTCCAAGCACAGAGAACAGCTTAGCAGGAGACACAAGAGATTAGAAGTGAAAGACCAAAGTACAATTTTAAGTTGAATTGTTCTGATGGCAGACTGCTGCAATTTTCCTCATGAAGCCAATAGGAGTTATGTGAGAATGTGAGGACTAGCCTTCTGTTGCAATCAGGCTGGTTTTCTACCAGTTTCAATTTCCTTCTTACACATGAAAAGAAAAAATTAAGCTGTCAAACACAAGCTATTAAAATGTAGGAGCTAAGAGTAAAAGGCCTCCATGACACGGCCTGCGTTCTGTGCCCCTGTTTTCTGTTGAGTTTACCTGCTTCCCTGATCAGAGCAGCAGAAGTGCTAATCTCACACTTTCAGAATCATGCTGGCCTGGCAGGTGTTTGGAGTGGATAGAGATGAAAATATACCATTGCAGCTGATGTGGGGTCATTGGGACATGATAATCCCCAAAGGCTTATACCGAACATTCTAATTTGTGACACTGAAATTCAGCAGGGTGTGAAGGTACCTGCTCTATGAGCCAACTCTCCAGAGGCTAAAAATAAAGTAACAAGTGAGAAATGCTCCGAGGTCAGACCTCATGCCAAGAATCTGCTACTTCAGCCAGATGATATTGCCTGCAGTTCTGTGCTGGAGTTAGTTTTCCTTCCCTATGGAAAGAAAAAAAGTAAATATTACTTTTAACTTTTCAGTCCTGGCTGTGGATGGCGATGGAAATAATATTATTTCATGCTTTGGCAATTATATTTTGCAAATCTGGGCTTCCAGTATTTTACCTATTAGTTCAAGTCAGTGGTTAACAGTAGGAATTATATTTGCCACTAAACATCTGTGTAGATGAGTGTGTGTTATGTGACTTGTCTTGATTGCTGTGTTTCACTTTCCTACCACGAACAGGTGCCTGTACGTCAGCACTCATGTATGCTTCAGCCTTTATCATATTGAGAGCCATACGCTTGGATTGCATGTCTGTTCTGTGATGATAGCCTTCATAGCAGGATAGAGAATAAAGCCCTTACAGCAAACCCTTCCCTAGGATGTGGTGATGAGAGCACCCAACTAAAGAAGTTTAAAAACAATTTCACAACACCATACGCATGGATGAAAGTCATCATGAAAAACATGCCCACTTCACTTTGACTCAGTTCTGATTTTAACCCACAATAGCAATTGCGAGTACAGAATCATAGGTTGGCATTTTCTCTGGTTAGATATGGTTTCCATTTCACATTCTAGATTGGTGAAAAGTTTGTGCTGCTAATTAAACTTGCATTTACAAAGCTGACCAGGTTTCCAACAATTGTAATTGTTCTGTTCCAACAAGCATGACTTCCCCCCAATTCACTTCTGGGAAGGTTTCGTATGGGAGGAAGCTGGCAACTACTGCCCAGTGTGACTGGGGTGTCTTTGCTTTTATGCACACCACTGAACAGTTGGGGCATTGCTGTCAGGTTTGACAGCACTGCTAACTCCTCTCCCCACAGGTGATCAGCAGTAATTTGGTCTTGCGTGTGGCACTGAATGTGTAGCTCACGGTTGCATATCAGTTTCTCTGAACTTCTACTATTGGGTAATGTTGGTTAATTGCTATTCATGCTCACTTGCAAGGATAATTTTAAATAGATGTACTAAGGTTTTTTTTATTTCTGGTTGGCATATGCTATTCTTATATAAATATATCAACTTTTTTTGCATCATGATCTCTTTCTTTTATTGGTAGGTGTCAACATTCCAGAATCTCCAACAAATATTCCTCCACGTTCTTTGGATTTTACTGCTTGGAATTTGTCCTGGGTCATGAGAGATTCCTACCCTTCCTTTGTTCCCAGAGGGCGGCACTGTAAGTACATCCATCTTACATTCCCAGTAATTTGGAAATGATCCGATGTTAAAATAAATGACCACCTAGATAAGTTTTCAAAGATGGTGTTTCCTAAAATAACGCCACATCATAAATGATTTCAGGTGATCATCCAGTGTTCTGTTAACTTAAGGATGAGCTCACACCTTAGTGTATTCATTTGATAACCTTGTTACTCACTCATATGAAAACTGCCATTTTATTTGTTTGTTTGTAGAATTTATTAGCAACAGATTTTTGGCATGGTAACATACAGAAATTGTGCATTACAACATTAACAGTTTCAAGTAACACATAGCCCTAATGATAAACAAATAAGTTTAATATGTTTTTAAATTTTTTTAAAAAATACACAAAAATAGTAGCATGAAAATAGCTGCTTCAAATGAGTTAGTGACCGAAGCAGTGTGTTAAAAATGCCTTGACAAATAGAAGAGTCTTAACCATCCAGCAAAAGACAAGTAGTGACTCTACCTGGAAATCATCTTTCAAAAAGATATCCCACAAAATGCCCTACTCTGAGCACTACTGATTTCAGCTGGCAAATAGATAAATGAGCAAGGGTTCAGTTGCAATTCTTTAGGCACAGGGAGGTTTATATGGGTGAAACTGGTCATATGTTATTCCTGCAATGTAGGGGGTTGAACTAGATGTACCTTCTAACTCTACAATTCCATGATAAGTCGTTTTGTACCATTTCTTCCATAACCCCAAACCAGTTCCAAAAATGGGAGCCCCATTGTGAGAGGATTAACCTTATCATCATATACTAACAATCATCCATCAGTGCCCAACCTGAATTTGTATGCAAAAGGGGTAATGTTAGCAAAACACACACTCTGACCTGCTGTGCTACTGAATACATCCTTCCTTGTTTTGCTTTAGATCAGGATGGGCAATTTCTGACCTTTTATATCTTGCTGGTCTACAAGTCCCTATTGGAGATTCATTCTCCGTGCCTGCAGTCATGGGATTGTTGTCTATCACATGATGGTGTATGTTTTCATTCCACAGTGTTGGAAGTGGTGGAGACAGGCTGTTTTGGTATTACTGTGTTCCGTGAAGTGGGACTATTGTCCTTTGTTCTTTTTCTCTTTGCTGTCTGATGAGAAAGCAGAAGGAGCTAAGCCAGAATGTTCCAAGTGTATTATATGTAAATAAACGTAGATTAGCCAAATGCTGGGCTACTGAGTTCTGTTACGCAAAATGTGAATACTCTGCGGATCCCTGAGTGTGCTAATGCCTTTTGGCATCAGTCGCTGTGATGTTCGGGCAGAGGAAAGCTTTTGAAGCTCCCGAACGATCAACCAGGAGGGAGAGAACATGCCAGCCGGGCATGTGTCTCTGCCTGGGTCCTACACGAGAGTAAGACACTCCTAACAGTCCCATTGTACCTGACCATTCATCATTGCTGGCTGGGAGTTGGGAGTCCAACAGCATCTGGAGGGTCACAGGTTCCCCTTTGCTGATCTATACGGTGATTTAATTTCACTGAAGTTTCTTCTTGAGAGAATTACTACTGCAGTACAATATTAGCACATTGTAGAAGGAATACCAGGTATCAAAAAATAAAAAAATAAAAAAAATTAAGGTGGGGGGAGGCCACACTTTTGACAGTTTATATCAAATTAGGCCATGGCAAGATCCCCAGGAATTATAGTGTGGAAAAACATGACATAGCCAAAGTATAAACCAACACAGTGGTTTTCTGCTTTTGTCACTAAATTGTGAATTGTGAATCTGAATTGTGTCATTAGACTGATTCTGAGAGGACATTTGGGCTACCAGCAATCAGCAGTGGGAATGATGTGTTCTAAACCAATGTCTTTCTGGCTCACTGTTCTGTGAAGTTTCCTGGCTTCCCATATGGCCATATTGGAAATGGATATTTCACATAATTGTTCCCTTCAGAATTTTCATTAGTCTTCACTGCCTTAAAAAGAATCTTATTACCGTATTTTTCGCCCTATAGGACGCACTTTTCTCCCTCCAAAAATGAAGGGGAAATGTGTGTGCGTCCTATGGGGCGAATGCAGGCTTTCACTGAAGCCTGGGGAGCGAGAGGGGTCGGTGCACACCGACCCCTCTCGCTCTCCAGGCTTCAGGGGAGCCCCAGCGCCAGCCCCACAAGGTCGGGGGACAGAGGGAGGCGGAACGCCACCATCCCTCTGTCTCCCGAAGTGGTTTGGAGGCTGACGGCGGGGAGAAGAGCGCTCCTCCCCGCTGCCTGCCCCGCAAGCTCCGGGGACAGCTGGGAGGCGCAGCGCGTCTTCCCGCTGTCCCCGGACCTGATCTGAAGGTGGGCGGCGGGGAGAAGAGCGCTTCTCCCTGCTGCCAGCCCCGCAAGCTCCGGGGACAACTGGGAGGCGCAGCGCGTCTTCCCGCTGTCCCCGGACCTGATCTGAAGGTGGGCGGCGGGGAGAAGAGCGCTTCTCCCTGCTGCCAGCCCCGCAAGCTCCGGGGACAACTGGGAGGCGCAGCGCGTCTTCCCGCTGTCCCCGGACCTGATCTGAAGGCGGGCGGCGGGGAGAAGAGCGCTTCTCCCCGCTGCCTGCCCCGCAAGCTCCGAGGACAGCTGGGAGGCGCAGCGCATCTTCCCACTGTCCCCGGACCTGGTCTGAAGGCGGGCTGCGGGGAGAAGAGCGCTTGGGGGGGGGATAAATTTTTTCTTCTTTATTTGTCCCCCAAAAAAACTTGGTGCATCCTATGGGCCAGTGCGTCCTATGGGGCGAAAAATACGGTATGTATTATTTTTTGTTGATAGTGAGCCATTTTGGAAGCTTGTTAGCTGGAAAGGTGGGATAAATATATATAGAGAGAACAACCTTTTCATCCCTAGCTACTACTGTAAGTATAGGTAGCTGAAACAATCCCATATCCTACCTCCGATTCCCTCCCCTTCCTTTGTTACTTTTTAAATCTCTATTATTAGACTGTAAGATCCTTAGGGAAAGGGACTCTCAAAGTACCAAGTAATTTCCTTAGGGAAAGGGACTCTCAAAGTACCAAGTAATTTCGTTGTCCCCGAGAGGGGGCAATGACAATAAAGATATTATTATTATTATTATTATTATTGAAGGCATTACAGTATATTCATAATAATAATAATAATTTATTATTTATACCCCGCCCATCTGGCTGGGTTTCCCCAGCCACTCTGGGCGGCTTCCAACTGAATATTAAAAACAGTACAGCATCAAACATTAAAAACTTCCCTAAAGAGGGCTGCCTTCAGATGACTTTTAAAAGTAAAATAGTTGTTTATTGCTTTGACATCTGCTGGGAGGGCGTTCCACAGGGCAGGAGCCACTACCGAGAAGGCCCTCTGCCTGGTTCCCTGTAACCTTACTTCTCGCAATGAGGGAACCGCCAGAAGGCCCTCGGCGCTGGATCTCAGTGTCCGGGCTGAACGATGGGGGTGGAGACGCTCATTCAGGTATACTGGACCGAGGCCGTTTAGGGCTTTAAAGGTCAGCACCAACACTTTGAATTGTGCTCGGAAACGTACTGGGAGCCAATGCAGATCTCTCAGAACTGGTGTTATGTGGTCCCGGCGGCCACTCCCAGTCACCAGTCTAGCGGCCGCATTCTGGATTATTGCAGTTTCCGGGTCACCTTCAAAGGTAGCCCCACGTAGAGCGCGTTGCAGTAGTCCAAGCGGGAGATAACTAGAGCATGCACCACTCTGGCAAGACAGTCTGCGGGCAGGTAGGGTCTTAGCCTGCGTACCAGGTGGAGCTGGTAGACAGCTGCCCTGGACACAGAATTAACCTGTGCCTCCATGGACAGCTGTGAGTCCAAAATGACTCCCAGGCTGCGCACCTGGTCCTTCAGGGGCACAGTTACCCCATTCAGGACCAGGGAGTCCTCCACACCTGCCCGCCCCCTGTCCCCCAAAAACAGTACTTCTGTCTTGTCAGGATTCAACCTCAATCTGTTAGCCGCCATCCATCCTCCAACCGCCTCCAGACACTCACACAGGACCTTCACCGCCCTCACTGGTTCTGATTTAAAAGAGAGGTAGAGCTGGGTGTCATCTGCATACTGATGAACACCCAGCCCAAACCCCCTGATGATCTCTCCCAGCGGCTTCATATAGATATTAAAAAGCATGGGGGAGAGGACGGAACCCTGAGGCACCCCACAAGTGAGAGCCCAGGGGTCTGAACACTCATCCCCCACCACCACTTTCTGGACACGGCCCAGGAGAAAGGAGCGGAACCACTGTATAACAGTGCCCCCAGCTCCCAGCCCCTCTAGACGGTCCAGAAGGATGTTATGGTCGATGGTGTCAAAGGCCGCTGAGAGATCCAGCAGAACTAGGAAACAGCTCTCACCTTTGTCCCTAGCCCGCCGGAGATCATCAACCAGCGCGACCAAGGCAGTTTCAGTCCCATGGTGAGGCCTGAATCCCGATTGGAAGGGATCCAAATGGTCCGCATCCTCCAGGCGTGCTTGGAGTTGTCTGGCAACCACCCACTCAATCACCTTGCCCAAGAATGGTAAATTTGAGACTGGGCGATAGTTGGCCAAATTGGCTGGGTCTAAAGATGTTTTTTTAAGAAGCGGTTTAATGACCGCCTCTTTCAGCGGGTCTGGGAAGGCTCCCTCATAGAGGGAAGCATTCACCACCCCGCAGAGCCCATCGCCCAGCCCTTCCCGGCTCGCTTTTATCAGCCAGGATGGGCAAGGATCCAGGAGACAGGTGGTCGGTTTCACTTGTCCAAGCAGCCTGTCCACATCCTCGGAGGTAACAGATTGGAATTGATCCCATGTAACAGGACCAGACAGAACTCTAGCACTCTCCCACCCTGGCCCTGCTCCCACGGTGGAGTCTACCTCCTTCTGAATCTGAGCGACTTTATCTGCAAAAAACTTTGCAAAAGCATTGCAGGAGATCTTGGGGTCCCTACCAGGCCCCGGTGGTGCAGGTGGTTCCGATAGATTGCGAACTACCTGAAAAAGTCTCCTGCTGCTGT